CTTCCACGTGCATGAGCTCATCTTAACCTAATTACTTCCCAAAGGCTCTACCTCCAAACACCATCATGCTGAAACTCGGGGCTTTAAAACATGTATTTGAGGGACATAGTTCAGTCCATACTGATGAAAGAAGATAATCAAAAGTCAGAACGAGGTAACAAGAACGTAAGTACAGAGAAGCAGCAGTCAAAGGTGAAAATTGTGCTGTCAAGAAGTCGAGAGGAAGATTTAGAAAAATGAGTGGTTAACAGTGTCAGAGGCCATTGAAACAGGCATGGAAAAGACTCCTGTGAAAGCTGATAATTAGAAGGTCATTAGTGTCTTTCATTTGGTCTAAAGCCCAACTGCACACATATAAAACTATATGGTATAATGTGTCATTAAGGCAACACTAAATTATATGGTATTAGAAGGAAAAGAAGGAATGCTTTTGGCTGGGGTCACCTGAGAAGGCTTAACAGGCCAATTGACACTGAACATGGAACTTGGTAAGTAGAGTTCTGACAGGTGGAGACTTGGGGGCCAGAGTCTAAGTTGAGTAAGGTAAGGTGTGGAAGCAGAAAAGGGCATAACTTACTTGCAGAACTGAGCGTAGTCAGGTTTACTGCAGCATATCATAGAAATATAAGAGAAAAGTGATAAATTTGTACTTACAGGGTGATAATATAAGGTGGATTTCTTTCATCAATAGCTGTCATGAAAATACATTATTTTAACCCTGAGCTCCACTAAAACAGAATATAAGAATTTCATTTCATAGCACTTTTATATTTTTTCTTAGTCTTTTAAAATATTTATCAGAAATTATTTTAAAGCATTTAATAACAAGTGAAGTTAGCCAGATTTTCCTGAAAGTTAATTGCCTTTATTTTCAGAGTAAAATTTACTTCATTTCTTTGGATCTCTGACCTTTTATCTCTAAAGTAGACTAGGCTGGATTAGTCCTTGAATTCCTCCAAAATATGATTCTATGATGTAAAAAATAATATTTTCAAAAAAAGACCAGAATATAATTATTGTTTTTATTAAGAACATTTAAGTTAAACTGGATATAAAATTCTCATTTTATATTTTTATTAAACTGGATATAAAATTCTCACACACTGTTTGTATGTAGGACTTCCTAAAGTCTAAGTTCTTTAAATACTTTTTAAATAAAATATTTATATTTTAAATATAAATATAATATATCTATATTTATAAAATAAATAAAATATCTATAAAATAATTATTCCACAGAATCCAATGGAATTTAACAAATACAGGTTAACAGATGATTTGTAATAAGTTAGTAATTTTGGGAGCTCCATAATATTAAAATACTTTAGAGAGGCAGTAACTTTGTCATTTTGTCCAATTTCTACATTTACCACATGAGGAATACAGGATGAAGAGCGATTAAGTGACTTGCTAAAGGACAGACGACAACTTGAAGTCCACTCTGCCACTGTTTCTAGTCCATAGTTGAGAGTCAATAGGGGACAAATATGAATATTTCTGTTTTTCAGGTAGTTGCTAAATCTAGTTTCTATTTTTTAAGCTGTTGGTTTCCAAGTAAACGGAAATTTAAAAGTATATGAATTATTTGGTAATATCTGTGTTAATGGAGAATACTGATAGCAAAGCAAATCTGATTGCAAATACTGATAGCAAAGCCAAAATTTTATTTTGACTGCTTTCCCATGCTGGGTCTGGACCCTTCATCAACCAGGTGTAACTGTGCTGTCCAAGGTCACGGACCTAGACTTCTGGGTCAGAATTCCATTATAAAGGAAGTTATAAGGAGAAGCGGTCATTGACAAGCTTTGCCTCACATTGACAGAGTTGTGTGACTGTCAATGTTATATCATTATACAACAGTATCATGGAATCCTCCTACATATACACCTTTTAAAGAAGCACCATCTTAAGGCAAAAGTATACGGGAGATATTCTGAAGTATTATAGATGTCTTTAAAAATCTGATGAAAATAATAAGCCCTTACCACCAGAAAAATGACATGCACTGCAAAAATTTGCAAACAAATGCAGGTACTCAAACTGAGGGTCACTGAGGCCAAGATTCCAGTTTTATTGGGATCATATTTTATCAGTAGTCCGGGCAGTACTACATGGGGAGACAAGTGGCCTGTACACTGTAGCTGGATATTATGGACCCCCTCTCTTTTTTTTTTTTTTTGGACCCCCTCTCTTAACACCACTTTGTATAACTTTATCTGGCAGAGGCTGACCAGTAACTGCTGGCCATATGTCACCACAAGTGCACAGCCCTTAGAGACAGCATGCTTTCTTGAAATGAAGTCATCTTAAACTCTGCAAGGGTTTGGAGTACGAGAAATTTGCTGTAGCTGTGATTAAGACAAAGTGCAAAAAACACCAGAGGCTCAAAAGCTCACACTAACCAAGCCTCTGACTGATGGGCAGAACGGGGTAAAGGAAGAGAAAGAAGGTAGGGAGGAGGGGAGAAATGAAAACACCTAATTTCCGGTACTCTAAGTAGTGGAATCATAAGATTCCATAACCTCACCTTCTCCTCTGTGACTCTGCCGCAGGTCATGATGAATTTCTGTCTACTACAATATCCTGGTAAGCATCAGCTACCATTCTCAGTTTTCTGCCAGGTAAAAAAATCCCAAAGGGGATGTGAGCTAATTTGATTTTCTTGTGTTTTAAAATATCTGATCCTTCCTACAATATTACTCAAAATAGGAACCAATGTAAGACTCAGTTCTCTATAGAGCATTCTTTCTTTCAAAACAAATAAGCAAACAGTTCTTATCCTCTGGCTCATGTTATGAGTATTTAACTACAAAGTACTTAAATTCTTCTTGAGTTCATTTTAAAAAGACTGCTATAGTTGTGTCAACTGAGATTTTTAGGACCATTCTTTGAAACCAAAATTTCAATATACTCATAGGAGAGAGGCATGAAAATTTTCATAAAGGTCACTTTCTGGGCTCTCAATCCAGTCCTTCTGTAGAATGATACCCAATGGGTGAAAAGCTTTAAAATGATGCAATCATGAAATCCATATTTCTCATTAACTTAGTTTTTAATTTGTACACTGTGTTGAAATTCTGCACAAAAAAGGATCAGTCTGTGGAGCTACAAATACCCTATTGCTACTGCTCTGTCACTTCCATCACGTCCAACTTTGTGCAACCCCAGGGACTGTAGCCCACCAGCGCCTCTGCCCATGGGATTTTCCAGGCAAGAATACTGGAGTGGGTTGCCATGCCCTCCTCCAGAGATGAGGACTACCCTCTTACCATAGTATCCATGTATATGTACAATAGAAATTTACTTTTAAGGAATAGAAACAGAAAAGATAAACCATAATATTCTTATCCAAGTCTACTTTTGACCTGATTTAACTGAAACAAAAATTGAAAACTTCCAGAGCAATGAAGGTGAGGAACAAGGAAACAGCTTAATGATTTTACTAAGAAATAGATAATAACTGCTAGAGTTTAGAAAATTAATTACACCTGAAAAGGTACTTTAGTTGGATACTAGAGTGTTTATTTTGCCTTAGTGCAAAAATCAGATATCATAGATTTACATAATGCATTACTTTGCAAAGTATTTTTATAGCAGACACAAAAATTCAGCAAGTCAACCTTTACCTATAAATGCCACATCTGCATGTATTGGCAATCCTGTTCCGAAACATTTTGTGCCTGAGAGAAGTTAGAGCGGCAGTGTAAGAATGCAACAGCTGATGTCCTTACAGGTTGGGGCTGGAGATGAGATGGAAAAGGGATTCCTACCGCAACAAGCAGTCAAGTTGCAAAAAAGAAGGTAGTTCAGGGACTAAATAAACGTACATGAGCTGCTGTCCCACTAGGGTCCTTGCTGTAGACACATTTATCATGATACTGAGTTCCCTGGCTTCTATGATATGGCTTCTACCTACATGATCACTCAACTTTGGAAAAGTCCTTTTTTGCTCCCCAAACCTCTATTCTCTTATATCAAAATCAGATCTATGACTAGGATACTTTTACCTGTTTCCTCTGGCTTTCTCTCATTTCCTACAAAATATGTTACAAAAAAGAGTATATACTATGAAGTTAAGCAAAACTGGCTGTTTTCTCTTTGAAACTTCATAATTACATAATATTCATAAAATGCTGATAATTTTGAGTAAATGGGCAAGCTAACAAGCCCTATACCAATTAAACCAGCAATTAAATGCTGTTGTATAACATGCTACTCTTTCAATGTAATAGATATTTTTTAAAGGGGCCTGGAGATGAAATAAAAATGTGCTTGATGCCATCTGAGGATCATCATTCAATGAAAAAACACTTCAGTTAAAAATAATTTATAAATCATACAGGAAGCACAGTGTTTTAAAAGTTATTCTATTTTTTTTCTGTGTACAAAGTCATTTTAGAAAATTTATCAATTTGAGTGAGAAACATACCAAGACTTAAAATAATAATTCTACCACCCCAAACTGATATCTAAGAACATTCTGATACATGATAAGTATATAGTAGCCTCAGATTTAATGTGTGTAGTTTTAACTATTCTTGAGCAACCATAAGCTCCCTGGTACATAATCTGTTACAATTTTTGCTATTATAACCACAAGTCCAATTCTGAATCTGGTTTGAAATGAGTAGACATTGCAGCTAGTGACTGTTATAGCCTCCTCTCTTCATCGAGAGTCTGTGCTGAACTGGTATAAAAGCAACAACTAACAAATTCATACTTTACTACATGTGGCAGAAAAGATGCCCTATGGAAACAGCCAGATGTTTGGAAATTCAAGTTTTGCTTGTGAATGTTAATTTCTCTATTTCCTTCCCCATCTTTTTAGTCTTTTAATAGCAAGATATCTTTTCTTTTTATTCTAAGAGAGAGAATTGTACTTGAACACTGTCAGCTTCTATAGGTATTTTTACAATAGAAAAACCTTTTCTTCCTGCCCCTACAAGAGCAGGTCGATTTTCATTGAAAACGACTTCAAGCTGGTTCTAATATTTACTCACTTATGCAGGTGCGTTCATCAGCATGGAGTCTGTATCCTGTATCACATTCACAGTGGAAGGTGCCCAGAGTGTTAATACAGCGCTGCTGGCAGCCTCCATTCACCACCGCACATTCATCGACATCTAGAGGAGGAAGACAGATGGCCAGGATTACAATGTCATTCCAATGTCAGCTTCATAGAAGTGGTACAATATTTGTTTGATACACAGTATGTGTTTTATTGCGCAAAGGCACCATCTCTGTTGCCACAAATCTTTGCCTGTTTGATCCATTTTACTCCACAGTATAAACAAGAAAATGTAGACAGAAACTTTATTGAGCTTTTTAAAGCCTAGCCACGATGAGCATAGGGACTGTTTCACAATTTTCTATTCTTCACATCCTGATTAATTAGACAGATCCGAGATATAGATATGTCCTCAGGGAAGGAAACCTGGAGGGGAGAATTACAATGAGCTACTTACTCTATCTGGAGCAGCACAGGCGAGTAGATAAACACATATTATTGGTCTGATGCTGCTGAAAAAAGTCAGTAATAAAGTTAAGACCTTGACTCTCCTTCTTATGTGCTACGGTGGACATTAGGGCAGACCTAGATAAATTAAAATAAAGCCATGATTTGGAGTTCTTAAAAACACATCAATACATTTGCTCCATTGACTCAGCTTCTTCCTTATCACTCAAGGTTTCATTTTTTGAAATACTTAGTATGATTATGCATGAAGTGATATTAATTTAAAATAAATACAAAGAGGTCAAGACTCATGGGCACCGATGTATTTGGATCAGTCAAATTTATGATAAATGAAGATAGTATTTGTCTTCCTTTGGAAAGGAACATCAATTTCTCTCTCAGAACCTATGTCAGTACTTACATATCTAAAATCACAAGAACACAACCACAAACATAGGTCAAGTTTTTCAGATAATCAGTGACATAAGAGCATCTAAATTTTCTTGTTTGGAGAATCTTTTTGTGACATGTCAAAGTAAAAATCAAGCAGCGGTCAAGATTTAGGACGTGCGTGTCTCATGCAGATAATGTCCCTGAGTCCCCTGCCTCCAGTTCCATTCCAGCAAAGAATATGGAGTATGAATACTCTTCACTAAAATATGTAATCATAATAGATAATTAGCTTTACATTGAGTGAGACTTAATTCCACAGGGCGAGACCTTTATTCAAGACACAATATTGGGGAGGAATACTATTGCAGTGTCTTATCATAGGACCTTGAAATCCTAATGGATATTTTGTACTGTGGTAAAAATTAGGGCATTTGTACTGAGGGAAGAAAAAGAATTTCCTCTACTTGGCATTTTTTTATGAAAAAGAAGAAAAATATAAATCACAAAATGAGTCCCACATTTAAACATTACTAGTTTACTGTATTTTCCTTCTAAAATTAGATATTTTGGATTAATTTCTGATATTTTTTTAAAGAAATCTTATTTTAGAGATAAGAACTATGGAATTTTCATAGCATTAGAATTTTTATTAAATTTTGAGTCTGTGATCATCAAAACACTAAGTTTTTACATATAAACCAACATCAAAGCAGAATTCTCCATTTGTTACTCATACTTTGTGCAGGGCTTTAATATTTATGCTAGCTAAATTTTTATTCTTTCTAGCTTTAGGGTATTATTCCACAAGGCTGAGATATAATTTTGAATCTTAGTTCTGTCAGCCACTGAATTAGATCTCCTTCCTCTGATTTTAAACATACTCTTAATTCTCAAGAGTCATATGTCCTCCCAATGTAATGATCAGCACTTCAGCACTTGCAATCACCAAAAATTTTCATAATATATCATATATATCTATATGTTTATATGTGCATGTGTATATGTGTGCTCAGTAGTGTCCAGCTGTTTGCAACCTCATGGGTTGTAGCCTGCCAGGCTCCTCTGTCCATGGGATTCTACAGGCAAGAAAACTGAAGCCAGTTGCCATTTCCTTCTCCACCTACATAAGTATTATAAATTAAAATGTCTTAAAAAGTGTGGACAGATAAAATGATGACTGCTGAGGGAAGGAAGGCATGTAGATTGGGTGGGGTACAGGAAAAGTGTGTTGGACAAGAAAGTTTATCCACATCTATAATGTTCTGTTTTGTTTTGTTTTGTTTTGTTTTCCACAAGAAAGGTTTTCAGGTATTACGTGCATATTAAAAAGGAATTTTAAAGAAAGAAGCATAATAAGACCACCTCGCTTCCTGCTCAAGCTTCAGTAATTTTCTGCCAAAAGAAACCAAGTAAGTGTATAATAAAAAAAAAATCACTGGGCTCACTCCAAAGATTAGAGTGGACATTGATTTTAAGGATGACTCCTCTTTCATTATATTTTAGTGTGTTCATATTCTGAATCTGCCCCCAGAACTATAATTCCATAGTTCCATAATATATTAGAATATACATAACATTCAAAGAAAAGCAAATCAAACTTCCTCTGGACATTGGGTCAGAGAGCCTTGGGAAAAGTATATTAGTGTCAAAGCTTATTAGCCTGTCAACCTTGCCTCTTTGAGACTCAGGTTTCTCATCTGTAAGATGGAAGAACAAGGACTACTATACGTTTGAAGAGGAAAAAGGAGTCCAGAATGGCGGTGGCTAAAAGACAAGGAAGGGGAAGGCCTGGGAAAACAGAACAAAGGAAGGTCCGAGGACTGGAGTGAGGACCTCAGGTAGAACAAAGAGCATTCCTGGCTAGCCCAATTTACATAGGGCAGGCCCGGGGCGGGGGGAGGGTAACATATAAAAAGAGAAGCCAAAGGGCCAGGGGTCTCTCTCTCTTTCTCCCCCAAGCGCAAGCTCATTCTCTCTCTCTCGCTCCTCTTCGCATCTTTTGGGTCGACATATTTTCACGCCTCAAGGATGTATTTTCCTTTAATTTCTAAATAAAACTGATATGTCCGAGAGCTATAACATGGTCTGTCTCAGAGCTGAGAACTATAACACAGACTGTTTGGGAGCTGTGACGCACCAAGGGCTTTAATGTCCGTCGCTTCAAATTTTTGTTGTGACGAGACAGACCGAAGAGATTACACTCCCCTGACACTATGGTTTATGTTTTTTCTTTCTTATTCATATATATGATTTTGGAATAGATTGCTCATACTTGAGCTTGTATGTAGGAATCAGTCAATTGTATTCCACTAACTTGAACCAACAAGACAAAACCATAAAGTGAAGGACTTCCCTGATGGTCCAGTGGCTAAGACTCTGTTCTCAATGCAGGGGCCTAGAGAACTAGATCCCACATGCCACAAATAAGAGTTCACATGCCACAACTAAAGATCCCACACGCGCCAATGAAGATTGAAGGTCCCTTGTGCCACAACTAACTGGCACAGATAAATAAATAAAATATTTTTAAAAATCCATAAAATGAGAGCACATGATAGAGGTCCTGAGCAACATAGGAATTCAGGGAAGGGAAAATGCATTTGGGTTGCAGTGATAAGGGGATGGTTGAGATATAAACTGAGAATGGAGTTCATGGAGAAAAGGATCAGTAATACCTGAAGAATTCCATGGACAGAGGAACCTCGCAGGCAACAGTCCATGGAATTGCAAAGACATGGACATGACTGAGAGATTGAGCATGCACACACGATCCAAAGGTGCAGTTGTTTAAACATTCAGGGTCTGAGATTTAGTATTCAGACTTGTCACGTTGGAGAAGAAGGTTGGCAAAAGAAAGCAAAGTTGAAAAACAAATCTAGACTCTTCTTTTAATTAATTGAGATAGCAACATGTTCCTTTTCTTGATTTGCAATACAATACACTTGTGGGCAGGTGGAGACATAATAGGCTGTGTTCACATAGTAGCTAAGCAAACTTATTAAAAGTTAAAAAAAATCAATCATTTATAAAGTGGTACCAAATGCAGAGTAATTGGTTTGACTTTCTTCCTTTTTGTCCTTTCAGAATACACTGAATTTATGAATTTCTTGGGCATGGTGTGACCTATAGTTTGCAAATCTGGCAGCGCATTAGAATAATTTGGTGAGCATTTAGAACTATCCATGCCTTGGTCTTGCTTTTAAAAAATCTAATTTAACTGGTCTGGGGTAAGACTTGAGAGTCAAACATTTTGGATAAAATCAGCTATAGGATATATTGTACAACACAGGGAATATAACCTATATTTCATAATAACTATAAATGGAGTGTTATCTTTAAAAATTGTGAATATTAAATATCTGTAACTTATGCAATATTGTATATCAACTAAACTTCAGTATAAAAGATTATAAAAAATAGCCTATAGCAAATGTTCAATAAAAGTTACTTATGATTAAAAAAAAAAAAAAAAGCACCTTTAGTGATTCTTATGTGGAGCCAGAGTGAGATCCCCTGATGTTGTTTCTGCTTTAGTTGCCTAGTGATCTTGTTAGAATGCAAAGAGCCAAGGGGCTGGATTTTTGCATTTCTAATAGAGCCAAGTCTATTCTGAAGCTGCTGGTCTGGGGGCCATACTCTGAGTAATGAGTCTGCAGACAGTCCTCTGTTCAACTGTAAATGTCATATGGATCATAGATGTCATGATTTGACTCAACTCCTCAGCTGCTTGACTAAAGCATACCAATTCAGTTCAAATAAACAAATCAATACTCTGACTAAAATAGTGTATAGTATACACTATTATAGTATATAAGCAAAGTCGCTCAGTCGTGTCTGACTCTTTGCGACCCTGTGGACTGTAGCCTACCAGGCTCCTCCGTCCATGGGATTCTCCAAGCAAGAATACTGGAGTGGGTCACCATTTCCTTCTCCAGGGGATCTTCCTGACCCAGGGATCGAACCTGGGTCTCCCACATTGCAGGCAGGCACTCTAACCTCTGAGCCACCAGAGAAGCCCACACAAATGTATACATATATACATTGTTGTTGTTTAGTTGCTAAGTCGTGTCTGACTTTTTATGACCCCATAAACTGTAGCCCGCCAGGCTCCTCTGTCCATGGGATTCTCCAGGCAAGAATATGAAGTAGGTTGCCATTTCCTCCTCCAGGGGATCTTTCTGACCAGGGATTGAACCCATGTCTCTTGCATCTGCTGCATTGCACACAGATTCTTGACCACTGAGCCACCAGGGAAGCCTTATATACATACACACA